CCCACCCACCTCTGCCTCCTCCCGCAGATTAGCGGGGCTTCTCTCTGCCTGAGGAGGCAGCAGTGGTAGTGGCTCTTCCCTCCCTGCCTCCCACCTCTGCCTCTACCCACCTCTGCCTCCACAGAGCAGCAGGGTTTCTGCTTGCCTGCATGAGGTGGTGGCAGCTCCCTCCCTGCCTGAGGAGGCAGAGTCTGCAGCCAGTTGCCACAGCCAATTGCTGCCAGCTGTCTCAGCAGTGCATGCGCAGTTGCCCAAAAGTGTTATGGAGGTGTGCAGCCACACAGGGGCTCGGGGCCTGTTGACCAAAGGTCATGGATTGAAGCTAGTACCACAAAGCCAGGTCTGACGCAGTGGACCTAGGCTAGAAGGCCTAGCAAGATTAAAGCAGCAGAGACCCAGGAGCCAAAGCCCCAACTGAGGGACCACCATTATAGTAACACCCGCGAGGCATGAAGCATAATATAAGGGACGATCTGGAGCCATGGAAGTAACCTTAAGGCTTTGGGTGCCCTGCAGGGCACAGTTAAATTGAGTGGCCCAGCAAGGGGCCCAAGGACCAGTGAGGACCACTATGGTGCTGGAGACCCTAGCAGGGGGGCAGGGTTCACTGGAACTGGGGTCACACAAAGGCCCCACAGAAAGGCTGCCTCCTTATTTATTATACCATCAAGGCATGGCAGGAAAGGCAGGTAGGCACCCTAGGGGCAGAGAAGGGCACAGAGCAGGGCATAGTAACGGAGCCACCAGGGAACATCATGGCCACCACTGGACTCCACCATGGTACAGAGTGGTAGTGTCATTATAGTCAATGAGATCAGTCTTGTATGATGATTTGAATGTAGTTTGTGTGAACATATAAATTCATCTCACTGGGAATCACTTAAAATTATTCTTCCTTCACTAAGTGACATTCTTTCCTCCTCTTCTCTGTCCCTAGCGACATCTAAGGAACTTTTAGGTTTTTCTCACAGAATAGATCGGGGTTGGTAACATTTTTGGCTGGAGTACCCAACCTCAGCCCATGCCTTGACTTGGCATGCCAGGGGCAGATAGGGGGGTGGGGGAGGTGTGGAGCTGTGAGGTGTCTCATCCTCATTGCTGGTGGTGGGTGCATGGATATCTCCAGATGGACGGTGTGGTAGCGGCTGGGTTTGTGCTACCCCTGCTGTTTCCTCACTGTGTGCCCTGAGGAACATGTGCAGCTGCCACTGGCCATGGAGCCCAGGCTTGCAGCAGGCAGTGGACAGGCTGCAAACAGCTGCACCAGGGTCTGCAGCCCTGGTCCTGTTCCATGGCTGGTAGCAGCTGCATGTGCACCTTAATGCGCATGGCAGGAAAGGGGCAGGGGCAGCACAACCCTGGACCATCCCCTGCCAGCACAGAGCCAGGAAGGGGCTCCGCAGACCTCAGTGCAGCAGCTTACAGCCTCCAGCTGCCTGCCACAGCCAGCCTGGACTCTAGCAAGCCCCTGCTGCCCTCCATAGAACCCGGGCTGCTTGCAGCAGGTGGCAGGGATACTGCAAACAGTTGCACCAAGGTAGGCTGAGCCCTGGCCCAACTCATTATTGGTGGCAGCTGCACGTGCATCTCTGGGTGGACAGTGGGGGAGGGACCACTGTTGCACAGACCCAGCCTCTTCCCTGCCATGCACTTTTAGGCATTTGTGCAGCTGCTGTCAGTGCCAGGGCTCCAGAGCCCAATGTAGCTGTTTGCAACCTCTTGGCTACCTTCCACATCTGGCCAGAGCTCTGGAAAATTGCTGCCTGCCATGGAAGCAAACCTATTGATGTCCAAAACTAAAATCCAGCAGACACTTTATTTTAATTATAAATTAATTGTTTCCTCAGAATGTGTGGTTGCTTTGTTGTTTAACATCTGATGCATAAAAAATACAAACTGACCCATGCCTTCAAGATAAACCAGTAAGTGATAACAGTGGGGAAATGCCATACCAACAGGTAAATCCATTTATATATATGATCAAAAGATCATTATCTGCCTGATAGAAAAAACATGATGGGCAAATGTATTTTCAAGCTGAGAGTGGCATGAAAAGTCAAGTTATTAATGTTGGAGACAATCCAAACAATGGAAGAGTGGGAATGCAAAGAGCAAGCGAAAAACAAATGTTTTTGCTGTTGCCACACAGATTTGTTTACCTGACACTTTTTGACTTCTTACCCCTCTTTTGGTAGAGACTGACCCTTTTCATGCCACTCTTAAGCCTGGAAATGCATGTTTTTCCAAGAGTGAAGGCTGGCTTCCGGCAGACTAAATATTTATTTTTTTAATCATCTACTGAAGATGATGTTATGGTTTCCTGATGATGGGAGCACACATCTGCGGATCTTAGGCCTATACCCACTAAATGTGTTTGAGCTACATATAGTACCAAAAACATTCATGACAGTGGTCTAGTGAGGTGACAGTGAGCAAATTACAATGTTGAGCACTGCATATTTAAACTCATTTCAGTAAGAATTTAACCTTAAATTGGAAGACAAAATTCTGGCCTCATTGAAGTCTATAGTAAAACTCCTGTTAACCTGAAATAGGCCAGGATTTCACATACTATTTAGAAAATAGGTGCAAATAATTGATGTTCCTCTAAGAAAAGAGAATAACCTTTTCTTTGTTCTGAGCCCACAAGTGTATTAATGAATGAGAATAATAAACATTAACTCTGTGTAGTCCTTGGTGGAGTATGGATTAATACAACCATTGATCCGTGCATATGGTAATCGTAAAGAGGCCTGTTAACAGCATGAACCAAAGAAAGCCTCAGTAACAGCCTGAGCAATAGACCTTGATGGCTGGAAAATGGACTTTACATGGGCTAAGCAGAAATGTTGGAAAAATTGGGCATATTTTGAGCAGCTCAAAGGCCAACAGATAGAAAACAATGGATAAGATGGGCTCAAGACATCAAAACAGAGATTAGAGTGACCTGGTAAGCACATTTCCCTATCTGATGAGAAGGTTGCAATATCTGGTGCGATGTCAGGTGAGAACTGGATGCGAATGATATCACTTAAAGATGTTTCCATATTTTATGAGAACTATGACGTGCTATAAGCATGGCATTGTTTGGAATGATATATAAATGGGGCTTGGAAACTCTGAATACTTTGCACTGACACTGTGTTTTATGCTGCTGCCATGCTTGCAGATGACTTGGCTAGTGCTGTGCCTGAATGGGGCATGATGTTAATGCCTAGGCTTGTTTGTGATCAGTTAACCTGGAAGAGTCCTTTGTTACTAAGAATCAAAGCCTGCAATCTCTCTTTTACCATTAACGAAGTTGTTAGTAGTAGTAGTTATATAAACAGTATTCTGACAGGGTATACATGGGCCATTCAAGCTGAGGGAGCCTGATGTGACTGGTACTGTATCCTCCCTGACCACACCTGATCGAGTGTGACACACTAATATGTCCATGAGTAGAAAGAATACTTTCACAGTTTTTGTAAAACATGTTGAGAACCTATCAGATCTAAACTGCCTTAGTATTTGGCAGCTGAGGATAAACCAACAATTGTTCTTTGCATTAGCTACCCAAAGGGAAAGGAAAAGGTATCAAAGAATTAAAAACAGCATTTCCTTTAGACTTAAAAAGTTTGGGGTTGGGTAAACATTCCCTTTTGAATTTCGTTGAAAAATTCCCGGACTCTGGGACTTTTTCTGATGACTTGCTATTTCCATTTTTCTCATGTTGTGAATTTTCACCTTGTAAAATGTATAATTTCAGTGACTGAAACTTCATATTTGTGTTATTTCTGTGATAAGTGGCCAAAAATTCTATAATCCAGATGCATTAATCTTTAATGGAAAAGTGCAGTCATTGAAGAACTAGTCCTGGCTCTTTCATCCAAAGATGGAAACACTGAAGGCCAGATCCTATTCCACCTACTAGGCATCTAAGTAGCACTTTCAGGTGTAAATATCTAGGAGTCATCCTATTCTATCCTGAAAAACGATCAGAGTACAATGTGGGTGGGTCCTTTCCTCCTCTCCACCTTTTGTAGCTTCCTTTTAGGGACAAGATGAAGGTTCATTAGAAAAGAAGATGCATCGATAGATTTTCAAAGATCCAGGTAATGTGGATTACACTTAAATTCTGAATACTTAGACTAGGAACTGGCCCTTCATGTTGAATTATCCAGCCTATCCATGTCTTTATGGTAGAGAAGCATGTGTGTTTGTGGCAGGATGGGGTGGAGGATCAACTCCATGTATTATATTCTAGAGTTAACTCTTTCATTCCCATCAACTTGCCAGCTTCACTCTCAGTTGAGGATGGCCTTGTGGTATATCTGTAACATAGTCTTTGAGACTTGATCTACTGGATTCCAGTTCAGCCTTCAAGAAATCATTGTATAAGAAAAATAGTAAAATCCAACAATAAAATTTTATTTTCTCTTTCTTTTGAGTTACTTTGGTAATTATCTCAAAAAAATGAAAGGAAAAAAGGTCTTGGATCCATCCATGTTTTTTGTCTGGATAAATCAAGTGTATAAGGTGTGTGTTTGCATATCTGTTTCTTTCAATAGAGGAATATCCTGTAGTAACAGGAAAAGTTTTGGGCAGTGAAAAAGAGGAGTAGAAATCTAGAGAAATAAACTCTCATCAAGAGCTCATAATGTTGTTGTAACAAATTTATTTGCCATTCATACAGAACTTAATTTGATGAAATACCCGGACAAATGTATTTCAGAGTAGAGGCAGGACTTCCTGCAAAGAACTGAAGTGTGTTGCCACAGCTTTGAAACAGGACTGTTTATCAGCTTTACAAAGCTGATGACAAAGAGCCAATAAAACCCAGAGGTTTTTATTTATTGTATTACCAGAACAGACCGTAATTTTCTGAAAATGAAGAGGATGGTCTTATAGCAGTGGTTAAACAAACTGGCTCCAGAGTAAGCCTAGAATGACAAAAATTAAAAAGCCAGAGAATAGGTCCTTTGTGGTGAACAAAACCACAGTTAACATACTTCTTAGTGGCTGTTTGAATTCCCTCTCTCTCAGGAGATGGCTCTTTCTCCATCTGCAGTACAATTTTAACTCCTACCAAACAGTGGCTAACTCATTTCCCTTTCCTCTGTCTAACATCAAAGAAATACCACTTCATGGGCTTGTAAGCCCTTGTTGGAAGAGCAGGCTGGATGAGAGATGACAGTTGCCGTGACTTCCAGTTCTGCGAGTTGTGGGAGATTCTCCATGGGTTGGAAAACCAGAGAAAGAAAACTAATGAGTGAGATTCTTATTCAGTTACATGTAAGCATAACAAAATTTTATTGTGAGATGAACGGCCCCCTTTTCCTCAGTACCACTATTTCCTTCTTTTCTGATTATTCAATTTTGCTTTATTTCTTAGAAAATTATAATGTGATCTTTTGAATCTGAAATGACACAATATTTGAATTTGCTCCTTTTATTTACTGTTAGGGAGAGATGAAACCAATACTTCAACCCTTACTAAGGTGTTTGTATATGCAACTTGTGGAACAGCATAAAGAATGTCTATGATAATCTGAATATTCTTTAAAGAGCATTAAGATTTTTGTCAAATATTCTGTTTAAAGGCTCTTTGTCCAAGGGGTTATGCCCCTCTTCCTCTCCCCCCTCCCCCCTGCATCATGAAGGCTTTGACTACAACAGTGGGAGCCAATGTCTTTGGCAGGCATGTCATGAATTAGTCCTGCACCTCCCCCAGTGCCACTGCAGTCCCCTTTCCCTGCCACATCAGCTGCTCTGCTTTCTGGTTCCTGTGCTGTGTTCCCTAACCTAATGTTTCTTAACCTTTTTTGTACCAGGACCCATTTGTAAACACTGATGGCCAGTCCCAACCCAGTGCCCCTTGCTCCTGACCCACTGCCCCTTGCCTCCAACCCCCAGGGTGTGGGACAGGGTGGGTCCCAAGCAGCCAGTAAGGGTACTCTGCAAGGGAAGACCCACAGTTTCCCACAGTTTTCCACTTTAAAGGAGAATCCATTTTTAAAGTTTGTTAAAAAAGCCTAAGAAATGTCCCTTTTCTAATCTGCCACATGCCACACACAGAGGCCACTTGTACCACTTGTGAAACACATGCTGCAGGTTGACCACCCTGGGACTACAACACATGCAACAGTTTCAGCCAGTAGTGAGCCCTTTTGACAATGGACGGGAGCAATGATCCTTGCAGGATGCTGTAGGGCTTCCTGCCTCTCCTTGGCCTTTTAGTGGGGCTGGGGACAGCTGTGATTGAATTTGTTCTTTTCTGACATGTTCGAGGGAAAGTAGTTAGAGAAGTCTGAGGCATTAGAGGTGAAATATTGGCTCCATGTAAGTCAGCTGAGTTCTCCCATTTAGTTGTGGGGAGCTAGAGTTTCACTCATGATGTGCAGAATAGACAGGTCTGTTTGTGTGGGAGCAATGAGGCTAGCTTTGGGTTCAGACTGACCCTTTCAAAATGGTGAGACAAAGAAGAGTGAAAGTGCTTCTCTTCAAAATAAGACAGTGCAAAAATATTTAGTTAAACCATTACTGTTCAAATGTGCCCTCACACAGGATTAACGAGTGGTCAATGAGTCTGTTTTTATTAACCAGGGTGATGTCAAGAGAATGAGACTCCTATGTGGTCCTGCTGAAAGGCTAAAGCATGTACTCCACTTTGACCTCAGCACATACTCCACTTCAACGAAGCTGTTTCTTCTCATGTAATTTAAATAGTCGCTCAGATTGTCCTGTTTTCCTGGAAATAGCTTTAGTTTAATTGTTTGAACGGTATATGGAGAAATGTCAGCCTCCGAGTTCTTTGAACTATTATCTTGCACTTTGTTGTTGTATATTATGGTTTGCTGGTATTGTTTCTACTTCCTGATATGACTGAAACTTGTTTGTACAATATTCTAAATGCTCGTGGTGGGTAAAATGTTGTTCATCT